CACTCAGACAAAAGCCCTTGACCCTCCTCACTGGGAAAGCTTGAGCAAGTCACTGAAGCCTCTGATGCAGTCTCCCTAACTATGAAAAACAATTGTGGAGAGAAATAAACAAGTCTTCGTATGTTTCCATGCCCAGCACAGGGCTTGGCACACAGGGATAAAACAAACGGAAGTTTCATTCCTCCAGTCCCCAAGGACGGAACAGGTTTTAGCTTTTTGGTCTCCAAAAGTATATTGGAACCTAGGGCGAGTGGGGTAAAGCTCTCTTGACCAGGGGCAAAGAAAGCTCCTTCTCTATATGCTTCCCTGGTCGGCCCAACTCCTAGGGAGTGGCCAGAGCACCCAGCCAGAGGCACCAAGCCAAGGTCAGTGACCAGGCTAGAGCCCAGAGCCTCCTGGGAGGGTGAGTTTAAATGAGTAAATATGGTCCCACCTGGGTGTGGCCAGCAACAGGCCAGAGCTCCAGACAAGTCCCTCCCCTCCCAGCCTACAGCAAAAGAGAGAGATCAGACAGCCACCCCCCTTGCCCCACCCCCACCCCCTTTCCAGACTCTCAGGGTCCTGTGCAGAGTCCATGAATGCATCCCCCTGTCTCCATGCCTGGCCAGAAGCATGGCTAGGCTCCCAGGAAGGGGAGGTTGTGGCCACAGCCTCAGGAAAGGAAAAATCAGATGCGAAGATTACCCAAGCCAGGAATCTGCCCCAAATGCCTGAGGGCTCAGATACAACCTTGCTACAACAGAGTGGAAGGGCTCACAGAATGAATGGGGAGGGCAACAGAAACCAGTGACAAACCACAAAACACCCAGGTGCTCTGGTCACCACAAGGCGAGGTGAAGCTCTATATATCTGGAAAGCTCCCTTATCCAAGGACACACAAGCAGTGTGAGGGTCACAGACAGGCTAAGCCGGGGCCACAGAGAGGGATACATGGGGGAGGGGAGGGATGTAAGGGGTAGTGATGGAAGTCAGCCAGGGCTCCACAACGCACAAGCCATGCTCTAGGTCTGCCCATTTGTAGTCTAACCTCCATCCCTCATGCTCCAGTCAACCCTTCTCTCTTCAGAGTTCTTGTATGCCCTTCATCTCCTTACCTCCAGTTCTCCCACCCCCGCCCC